GAAGATGGTGATTTTGATGGTTTTCACATGCATGGTAAGATATAAAGACAGGATATGTGTTGTACTAGAATAATGTCTCTGATGCCTCAACTGTTATTTGGAATCCCTACAGGTGAAGAAAGGTGTCTATTTGTTATTTTGCTCCCTTCGTTAAAAGTATACCTTTTGGGACTAGAAATATTTTCAGGTCACTATTTATGATGGTGATGATCTTAATAATAATAATAATAATAATAATAATGATAATAATAATGTATTTTTTAAACTTAAGGTGGTTTCCCACTCATAAAGTAGTAAACCTGTCTCTGTTTGATAATCAGTGAGTTTTAGACCAGTAGGGTGTGTCTGAACATTGCTGTACACAGAAAACTAAGTTTTACATGGAACATTCAAATCAAAATAGCAATCTGCATGTCGGTACATGTTAAAGATGTTGTCAGGATTAGGGGTATGATCTGCCCGTGGCAGTATCCTTTGGCATAATCTGAAATTACATCTTAAATGTGGTAGATGTTTATCACTTGAAATTGGCATCTTAATAAGTGTATTTTTGTTATTATGTATCTGTTTCTTCTCTATTTGCTGAGGTAGAACCTAGAATTAAAGTGATATTGGGTTTACAAATGTGGGGATGGAAATTGTTTGGTAATGATCAGTTTTGAAGGTGTTTCACATATAAATTTTATCAGTTTTTTCAAGTCCCTGGGAAGAGTTGTTTTTAAAACTGCTGTGATTTTGTTAGAAATGTTAAATATTCATTTCTTAGAAATGCAAAGAGAAGAAAAAAGAGAGAAAAAATGTTTTGATTCTTTGAAAATACTCTTTGAAAAAGTCAGTTGATGGATTGCTTCTTGGAAATAAACAAAATATTCATGGCAATGTTGTTTTTTTAATCATGTAGAATTAAATCTGTTCTTTTATCCACACACACGAACACTGTAAATTTCATATAATAGCATATTTTACATTCTTTGGCAGCCAAACATCTTAAAAAAAAAGACACCACCAAGAATTCTGCTGTGACAAACAAACCCCAAGTGTCAAGTGGAAGTGATTGATTGAGTTCTGCAGTGGTACAGGAGCATGATGTATTGGCTCACAGAAAAAAAATTAACCATATGAAGAAGAATATGAAGATGTAATTCAATTCCATTTTCACATGCAGACTCCCGCATCAAAAGTGGCTGGATTTCCTAAAGAGTTCTATTAAAATATGAATGTGTGTGTGTGTGTGTGTGTGTGTGTGTGTGGGGGGGGGGGGGGGTAAACATTTGATGATCTTTCTTTAGGATTGATTTTTAAATTGCCATGATGCAAAAATTCTAAGATTTAAACTAATAAAAACAAAAAATTAAAGGTTCCATTCTTTTGGGCAGATAAAGTAAACACTAAAAACTGATGATTCATAGATGTGTTAGCACAGAAAGAATCTAGTATGTATATTTTTAACTGGGCAACTTATGCTGGTATCTTTCAATCTTGGGCCAAATTTCTTTTATTTGTGGTCCTGGCCCCAGAACCATTGTTAGTCAGTCTGTGCAAAGACCATTTGAAAGTGCTGCGTGTCTGTTGTGTAATGAGACATGGTTTGTCTACTGGCATGTCACCAGAATATGTCTACTGTGTAATGAGACATGGGTTGTCTACTGGCATGTCACCAGAATATGTCTACTGTGTAATGAGACATGGTTTGTCTACTGGCATGTCACCAGAATATGTCTACTGTGTAATGAGACATGGTTTGTCTACTGGCATGTCACCAGAANTTTCCATTGGAGCAATATACAGAGTAAAATAATAAAATAATAAATAAATAAATAAATTAAGAATTTAGCTTTGAGATCAAATTAAAATGCGTCACTGCACTTGGATAAAAGCTGTTTAAAAAGCGTTTACTGCCTTTAAAAGTTAAAAGTCTACTGTTGCTTGGTAAAAAAGTAAAAAGAGAGGATGCAGGATGGAAAGCGTCTTTCATGGTGTTGACAATTCTTTTCTCCATCCTGTCCTTAAAAATATCATCCAGCTTGGGGAGATCTTGCCCGATAATCCTGCTTGCAGTTTTTACAACGTTTGCTAACACACACGTGTGTGTGTGTGTGTGTGTGTGTGTGTGTGTGTGTGTGTGTGAGCCTGCTAATTGCTGTGTATGGGCTTTGTGTGTGTGTATTTGTGTAACAGATCTTATATATTTTTTACATAGGCACTTTTAAGACTCTGTTTATTTCACATACTAGTGATCAGAGAGTTTTTAAAGCTATACAGAGAGTAAGGCTATGTTCTAAATCTTCACTTTATACCAAAAAGAAAAGTGTTTCCACATTACAAGGTGACAAGTTATGGAGAGTGCAGTGTATGTAACAGAAGAACATCAGTGTCATTTCCATGATGGAAACAATAAGGAAAAATGTGACTGACAGGTTTATGATCTTTGACTGGATGGTCACACTTCACTTGGGGCGTCCTCTTTTCACGCTCTGTGAGCAGTGGCCAGGGGGGCATTTTTGACCACCTAGGCCTTGTTGTGAGACGTCATAAGTTTAAAGAGTCCATTTAAGGTGACAGGTGCCAATTTTGAAATTAATAATAGCCAGGTGTGACTGTTATAGCTTCTATTGCATTGTTGTTGTCTGTGTCACTGTCATCATGGTATTTATGAGTTTGTGGATGAGTGTCATGGAAGAACTTATCGTGGAAACTTGGTCAAATCTTTTAGACTAAAAATTTGTTAATTTTCACCTCATGATAATTCACAGTTTTGATCTGCTGTATTAACTTTGTGTTGTTATCAAACAGATGTACTATTTCATTTAATTGGACTTTTTACAAACTTTTTGTGGGTTGGAGGGAGGTAAAGTAAATTAAGTTTTTGGTCTAAAAAATTAATGTGTTTGGAGTTTAGATGTGTTTGGAGTCGAGTGAACTGAAGTTTTGTAGAGCAAAGCACATAACCTTGACCTCTGACCCCGACCTTTGACCTCCTTTGCAGGTCAAATCCAACTTAACACCCTGCAAATATTGTAAAGTTTAAACTGTCTGCAATAACAAATAGTGGTAGACAGGTTTTAAATATTTGCTTTCTAATTCAAACATGTTGGCAGGTATACAAGTATGTCCTTGAAGGTCCAGGAGAATAAAACTTGGTATATGGTAAAAACTCTAAATTCAAACTAAATGAATTGATGTATTTGATATATTTCCACAAAATCATGTTCTGTTGCATATACTGATTTTTAAATATATAATAATTTTGAAAAGCAAACTTTGTGTCATAAAGAGCATTTTTAAGAACAACTAGAAATAAAGTACTGAAAATATATAATAATTGGCAGAGGTAAGATGTTTCAAAATCTTTGCATACTAAAGTAAGTCATTCCAGCAGAAAGGTATAGTGTCAAGTTAAAAACATCGGCATTCTGTTGAACAATGTATCCATTTGTAATGTGTGAGAATACCTTCAAATTGTACTTACTAGTGGAGGTTTAAGCAGAAGTAAAATATAAGAAAATGAAAAACTGAAAAATATGTTGTCAGTTTTTTTATATGTTAGAAACTTAAGGTAATGTTTCTCCATGACTTGTGTGCAACAGTTTTATTTTGTCCCCAAAAGAGTTGTGTTAAGTAGGACAAAACAATTACGTCATCTGTTAAAAAACTGTTTATGATCAGACTTGACGGAGGTGTAACACATTGAATCATTGTTTGTTTTCTGGGACAACAAGAAAAAAGTTTTCTCACAAACAGGTATAAGTTGCACCTGAAGTCACATTGATAGTGCATCTTTTATTTGCTGTAGGTAGAAATTTTATGAATACTTTTGAGGCTGTAAATGTCAACAAGAAAAGAGAAGAAAATTACCTGCAGTATAAGAAACCTGTTTTTTAAATGGTATTTATAGTAAGAGAGAGAGAGAGAGAGAGAGAGAGAGAGAGAGAGGTATGATTGTTGCCCTGCTATTTAGAGTATGNGTCGATCCATCCTAACTGAAGGTTCCCATACATTGCGTTTGGATGATGATGGTACACTACTTTTGAAGAGCTGTTTAGTTTCGTTGTGAAGACAATACTACCAATTGAATTTTTTTTAAGGCGAAAGGGATTAATGCACTCAACATCACTTCGGTGGACCGTTAACAGCCTCGACTATAAGAATCGAGTTTAGAGAGTTTTGTAATTTTGTGACCTGCTTAAAAATATCATTTTGTCACATCTTTTTGTCCCCCTCACCTTAATTTTGGCTATCTGTCCGACCAAACTGCCCACTGCCCCTGCGGCCGCACTGACCACCACTACCTCCCCCGCCTTGGGCTTACAGAGCTCAAGTAAACCAAAGTATGCCGTGGCACTGAAAACAAAGGGCTTAGTGCATTATTTCTAGCAGACATTAAATAATAATAATAATTATTATTATTATAATATTATTATTATTATTATTATTATTATTATTATTATTATTATTATTATTATTATATAAAAGTGAGCAACGATTTTAAATTCTTTATTGGCGGTCAGAGTGAAATTAAAAATTGCCAAATAAAGATCGAACGTTCATAGCGCCTTCAAATAGCTTGAAGAACTATTTTTAAGACCTGTAATTTTTTTGATGTACAAACACAAAACAAATAAACAAATATATAATGAAAGTCTCACCCAGGCATGCCGAGGACACCCAGGTTAACTGACACTGGGAGACCAGGGACTGGAGTAGCAGGCATAACTGTGGGCATACCACCGACCCCCTGACCAACATCAACGATGGCGTGCGTCCTCCATCCAACATTCCCAACGAGCATCATTCCCACCGGATGCTTTGGGCTCTTGCTCTCTATCACCCTGGAAAAATAGACGACATTTTTCTCGGGACTCTTAGGCTGCATGAGATGTAATCTACCGTAATAGATCACCAAATACTGGTTTTACTTATGAACAAAAGCCTAACACTTAACGGTCTCTTAACACATTTCAGTAACTCTCTGTAGATTTTCACTATAGTCCCCATTTACGGTGATTCTGAAATGTCTATTGCTTAAGGTTTTTATTTCGTAGATACATGTACAATAATTCTTTAGGCAATTTTAATATATAAACAATCAAGTATATATATAATTGTATTTTTAGGTTGGAAGTCTAGAAAAGGTAGATTTTACCATCGGCAAAGATGTGAATATCCAAACTGTGGACTTAGGCTTCGTTCACATGCAATGTCTATTTTCTAAATTCTGTTTTCTATTCGCGCTATCTTATGATCACGGTCTGTGCCCTGAATATCCCGCCGCGTAATTACTGGCAGCGCGAGCCAGTTACTTATGGTAACTTATAGATCATAAGACATACCGCGAATAGAAAATAGAATTTAGAAAATAGACATTGCATGTGAATGAAACCTTACTTCCCAACTTGGGAGCCTATCATGGTGTCCCCTTCCTTCAATGCTGACCGTACGTAAACCCTGCAGAAAAAAAGGAAGTATTATTAAGATTGAAATTAGAAAAACTATTAACCGAAATCCATTTTGATGCAATATATTAGATGGGGATAAAATTTTACATTTTCTAAAAATTTCGTCTGTGTCATAATGCGTTGTCTTTTCCAAGGCTCAATGCTAATTAAAATCCAGTAGTTTTGATTGATTCATTAATACTTATTTTCATCAACTCAAACAAATTCGAGACATCTATAATGTATAAACCCATTTATATTCCATAACAGAGACGTTAGCAGGGGGCTCACTCAAATGCTTAGATAACAACGTCCTTTCCAAATAAACTCATGGGAAAACGTTTGTGGTCCTATGTTCTCTTTGAAACTTTTGTGAAATGCACATGCAACTTGTGACAATAATCAATCAAGTTAAAATATAATTGTATTTTTAACATGGAAGCCTAGAAAAGGTGCGTAACAGATGTGATCTGCTCAAGGTTGCATTTTTTGTGCATTTTTATGGGGATTTCCTTATGATTGGTCAGAATCTACTAGGAGGTATTGCAAGCGTCACTTCTGCAATAGATTGGTCGGAATAAGTAGCAGAGGGTGATCTATGCACCCCAACGGATAAATGTAATTCCACCCTTTTAACATTTTTTTTATTTCGAGTATATATTTTTGGGAATATGTATATGGATAATTTATGTCATTACTGAATGAACTGTCGTTGGCCGTGCCATGCACAAATTAACGTCACCATTTCCCAGGTTTACGTACTATATTATCCACACTCAGATCGAGCTGCTGTTCATGACGTCACTTGCAACCACCTTATTATACTGACCATGAGCGTCGGGTTATCTTGACCCAAATACTGGGGCTACAAATCCTTTTGTGTATTTGCCTGCTGTTTGAACACTGTCAATAGAATCACTCACAGTAAGTGCAGCACACCTCTCCCCTCCAAGAGAAGGAGAGGACACGGACGTTTTTTATTTTATTTAAGCATTTTTAGTACAGTTACATCTACAGTGCCCTGGGTGCTTTCCTTTATTTATACTCATTTGAAAAGAGTACAGGTTTAAACTCTCACCCAACCCCAGCCCAGTCATTGTTCGGCATGTAGAAAATGTAGAAAGGTCAGGCCTTCTGGGAAAAATTATCTCACCTCATATATGGGTCCACGCTTAGTGCTTGAGCTTCTATCAGAATTTCTGAAAATGACCAAACACTAGGGAAATGCAATACTCTTGTCAAACGCGCGCGTACGCGCACACACACGCACGCATGCGCGCGCACACACACACACACACACACACACACACACACACACACAGCGTTATATTTTTTAAAATCATTCTATTTAACAAAAACATGGGCCTTATGGGTCCAAATTTTTCAACCTTAATTCTCGTTATAGTATATGTGAATCTCCGGAATCTCTTCCGTACATGTGCAGTTGGCTCATTATGCAACTTAAGTATTTGTTTATCAGAAATAGCTTAAATAATACCCTCGATATTTTGCAAGTCATGGCAGACCTACCACCCATCCCATGGGCTTGTGACACATCATAAGGTCAGTTTCGCCATGAGAGACTGTCAAAAATGCAACTTACGTCCATCTTGAAGCTCTGGCAACTCCTCCTCGACGAGTTCGAGATCAGAATCTTTGGGCACTCCATCGAATTGGTGTGCCAAGATCCATTTCTTTGCTTTCACAGGCATGTTTCAGTGTTACACCTGTAACAGCGATGGTTAACTGACAAATGTAGGTTATCGGTATGTGATAAAGCTGGGTTGTGTTCCGGCCAGTGTGTCACAATAATACTGCTTACAATGTGACAATAGCCTGGATAGCGGGGGGTACAGCAAGTACAGTGGACCTTTAGGTTCTGAGGCCCTTTGTCACATCGTTTTCATCATGTCATATAGGCCTAGGTTATGGGGCCAAAATTGGATTATATTCAATAGTTTTACTGCTTGTAGTGAACCGTTAATAGTACTGATAGTCTAAATTTGCATACATGTGATTTACATATTTGTTTAATTAATTTATTTATTCAGATGTATCTGAGCATGACAGCTTGCATGTGGTGAACTACATGTATTAATAGCACTGATAGCTAGATTTCCATACATGTGATTTGGATATTTGCTAATGTAAATTGTATCTACAATTAAGTTTTAAGGTATTAAGGCATGGTATATGTTGCATGTCAGTTAGGGAAGTTCATTTAAAATGTAAATTAAGATCGGGTATAAAAGCAAAGACCGAGCCACAGGGCAGGGATATAGAGAGATATACAGAAATATAGACTGAGAGGTAGAGAGTCTTACAGATGGACATAGTGAGATAGAGACATAGATTAAGGTTGCGTTCACATGAAAAATCTATTTTCTAAATATCTAAAAATCTATTTGCGGTATCTTGTGATCACGGTCTGTGCCCTGAATACCCTGCGGCGTAATTACTGGCAGCGCCGAGAATTAATAACAGCTTTGGAAGTAACTGGCTCGCGCTGCCCGTAATTACGCCGTGATTAACGTCACGAAATGACTGTATATTCTTAATACATAAAAGATTTTATTTTCTAGGAATTTTTTTCACTCATTTGTCAACATCCGTGTATACCATATCCAAAAACCATATTTGTTTAAACACAAATACTATCAGTAAATCGGATTTTCAGCTCAAAGGTCCTAATATTTGGGCCAGTCACGTAATGGAGATAAAGTTCGGTGAATTTTTACACGTAAAAATAAAGATTACAAATAATGATGAGATAAAAATGATTTATAGATTACAATTTTCTCAATAATGTTAGATAGAGTATACTTAGCTCTGTGATAAAGAGAAAATAGGTGATGTTCCTGCGTATACATAATCCTTTGCACAGGATATGTTAAAGCTTTTATTGTTATCTTTTAAAATGTTTTAATGCCCTTTATATCTATTTTCGAGTTTCTTTGCTATTCGCCAGCGCAGTATCTAGCTGTTGTGTTGAAAAATTAACGTGATATTACGGCAATTACAAAATATCAGTCTGTTGGTAGAAATTTGTTGTTCTGCAGTTTTCTCAGATGTTCACTACAGCTTTTCCTGTATTATCCCCTCGCAACATTCCATAGAAGGCCTCCCTCATGTTCTCGAAGCCCTTGGTAGTAGTTTCTCTGTACTTAAGTTTTCCCTAGGAAAAAGAAAAGTAAAAGTAAACTAATTGTATAATGCATTATGCACGCGTAAACACATTAGAACCTTTCTTCAATTTGAAATCGAGGAAAAGCACCGATATGCATGTAGTTAAAGCTTCAGAAAATAAAGTATAAAATTTCAACCAAAACATTGCAAGATGCCTTTCCATATCTGTAACATTATTTCGGAGTGCTATGTGTCTTATCATTCAAGTAAACTTATTATTTAGAAAGTACTTCTTTCATCCAGGCCGCCATTTCCTGGAAGGCCTCAGGCCAGCGACTCAACCATCGCGTAGATATAAATCCCTCCATTCTCAGTTCGTTTACTATCAGGAGAATACCCGGAAACACGCCTGAAAAGAATAGTATAAACTGTTTACAAGTCTGAGATGTACGAGTTGCTTTGAGAGAAATATAATCTTCAGTCCAGGAAGATGACTTGAATTATTAAAGGCGCAAACCCTATCTAACTAAATC